CTAAAATGAAGTTTTTTCTATTTATTTCGAAGCCTTAAGAGACTGTTTTGCTGTCCTCTCGTGCCAAATCCTAAATTAATTTGAGGTGTAGCAGATACATCTCGTTTGCCCACTTTTAATCCGGCCCACCGTACCTTTTCTGGCACGTAGGCTACATTAGGGCGGTCATTTGGAAGAGGTTGTGCTCCAGGATGTTGCACCCCTAAATGCTTCAAATGTTTTTAATCAGAAAAACTTATTCGGCTAACGGGATCATTCTATGATCGGAAATTACTATCCTTTTATGCAAATTTGGGTTACAAGCTAGTATATAGCGCCATGTTCAAAAGAAGCCCTTTCGGAGGGGCTGTTTTTTCACGCGCGTAGCCATGTTTTTGGCGTTCTCTGCTGTTTGGTGATCATTTTTGGAGGGAGATGCTAGAATATTCGAGCCGTGTCTTACATCGATTAGTGTCGGGAATTTGGGCCAACAACCCTTGAGAATTGCCTAGAGTATTAGCTAGAAACTAGCTTAAACAATTGGGAATGATAGAGGGCAATAGAAGGTCTTTTTAAGGCCGCCGCAATTAAGTGTGGGGTATCAAAATGGGTGTGGGCGGAGTCGGAGCGTTGAGCTCTGTTTGCCTAATTGTCTTTTTTGTTGTGGTTGTCTCGAGCTCGAGATGTTTATTGGACGGCTTCGCTGGGGTGGTAGGAGAGACCCTTCTCTGGGCCATAGCGGGTCCTTTGGCCCTCTTCTCTGCTCCGGGCCATAAGCGGTTGCAGCGCCCTCAGTCGGATTGAATAATTTAGAAGAAACGCGTTGTGTGGGGGTTGGGTGGGGGGACGATGAGGGAATTCGAGACTATGTACTCTCTCCACTACACCACCAACTATTCTTGTATCTATTCGTCGCTCTGGATCTGCACGCAGATAGCTATTTTTGGTGGAAGGAGGGCAGAAGCTGTTTCTAATGGGTCAGAGCTTTGAATTCATGAAATATTATTTTGACAAAGCCATCCAAAAAAGCTGTATTTTTAAAGGCGCGTGTAAGTTCGAAGCCATGCCATTGCCTCCATTTCTTTCATTGATTGAGTGTCACCGGGTGGTTTGGTCGATCCGAGGCGAAGCTATTTTCCGCCTAGTTTCTTCAGAATCCCTCTAATTGTTCTCAAGGGATTATCTAGATTATGGTCTCCTCGCAACAAATAACCCTCAGTCTCTCTCTCTCTCTCTCTTTCCCTCCCTCTCTCTCTCTCTCTCTCTCTCTCTCTCTCTCTCTTTCGCTCATCTATCTGCAATCCAGCACTTCTCCCCCCGAGACGCATATTCACGAGTTCATATTTTGTATGCACGCATTAGGTTCCGCGTTTCACCAGACCTACAAGCCGCCGCTCGCATTTTTTGCTCGTAATTTGGATTTATGAGATTTTCGCCATTTATTGCGCTGCCAGCTGGACCTTTTCAAGCCCACCAAAGCGTTTCATTTCTCCTGAAATCCGATTACTCCTCCATGCAAAATCGCCTATGAATTATGGCTTCAATATTTTGCATCGCCTACTCTTTTCCACCACGCTTCCGAACATCACGAACATTTCATAAACACGATCTGCCCTCGGTGCCCAAATTCTGCTCGCGCAAATAAATAATTCAAAAGTCGGACGGGAGCTGGAAATTTGGAGGTGCCGCCGCGCGGGTCGGCTATTCTTATCCTAAAAAACGCATCATTGTTCCGGGGGGTTGGTGGCGTTTGGATGTGGGCGCGGTTTTTTTAATTTGATTGTTCTAGGGTGCTACGGCATTCACCTATATCTTGTTGGCTTTAGGAGAGGAGGAGCGGGCATAGTGACGAATTTTTTCTGGTCTGTAATTTCGAGAGTTGGGGCCATAAACTAACAAGGGAACCACCTAAGGTCGAGGTGGCGGTTCGTTATGGGACCCAGCCCATTTTGTGCAGAATTTTTCGCTGATACCGAATCCGCTGCTCATTTTTGCCAAATAGCTCATTTTAAAAAGTTATAGCGCTTCAAAGTTCCATTTTTTCCCAAATTTCCCGACTTCAAAGCCATTTATTTTGCATTTCCCGGCTGATTCATCAAAAACGAATATCGCCATCGTATTCAGAAAATTTTTCTCTATCGAATGAGCGATTTAACTCAAATTTGTTGGAAATCGAAAAAATCGACGATACTTGCTTGGTATGGACTCCGATTTTTGTATGGGAAATGGTGAAAAACAGGCTATTTCACTCTCCCATAAGTGATCGTTGATAGGCAGTAGCGCAGTAATCAAATATACCATTCGAATCAGAAAAAAAATTCTCTACAAGATAGGCTATTTAAAATGGATTGGCATATTAAAACAAAAAGGTTGGGCATCGTGACAGATGACCGCCCGCGGGCTCAAATCTGATCTTAAAATCGCCGTAACTTTTTAAATAGGGCTATTTGGCAAAAATTGAAAGCAGGTTCGGAATCAGCAAAAAATTCTGCACAAAATGGTCTGGGTCCCATAACGAAACGCCACCTCGACCTTAGGTGGTTCCCTTGTAAGATTCAAAAGTCAAAAGACCTGATTTAGGTTTTGATGAGGAAGAAGCGTGTAGTTGGATTACCATTCAGAGTAGACGAAGTACGACTATGTTTGAGCGAAATTCTGTAGCACCCGCGACACGCAACGCGCCCACCTTTCCAGTGCGTTGTGGATTAAGACCCCGTTATGGTCCCAACTTGCAGCCGCTTGGCGCGTTGCGGTGCACTAAACTCGAAGTCCTGCCATACCGACCCCTTTAAATAGCCTGACTAATGTTAATTATATTTATTTTTATTGCTATAATAATCCGGGTACCCCGTTTTCCCTGAATTCCGTGGAATTTTTCGTTTGAGAACCCTATGACGGTTCCACCACGGCGCCCGCTCACTTGATCACCTTCAAAAAAGTTCTTCCATTGAAGTGTCCAATTTTATCACCCGGCCGGCCCCGAGAAAACAGATAGGGAGATAAAAATGGGGGGCCCCCGCGTTTTATTAGACAATGAGCAGCTGCTCCGCAGGCGGGGAGAATAGGGTGTAAAAGGCGTAGAATATTGGTAAATCTGCTGAGATTTCGAAGGGTATATTTCGATGAATTTAGATCGCCTTGAAGGTTAAGAAACGATTAATTTCTTGGAGAATGTGGAATTTAAATTATGCCAAATCTTAGATTTAAAATAGATTTTTGGCTCGCCATTTTCAATAATTACGAATTTATCTGCACTCTATTTTGTGCCAGATCCGAAATTGTAATAAAATGATGTACTCCCCGCTCCCACAACAGAAACAATCGATTTCTTCCTGAAGCAGGATATCCACCCCTCCATAGAAGATTGGGGGGAGACCAGGATTATCCCAGCAAAAAGCGGCCACCCCAGATTAAATGGCGGCACAAAATTTTCTTCCGCAAGCACGCCACCCGTTCGAAACTAGAGGGTGAGTAATTGGGTACAGAGATGGAATAGAGAGCAGAAACGAAAGCAAGAATAAACCGGAAGTGTAGCGGCGTGACTTTAATGTATAATCAGGCAAAAAACTAAGCTACTAATCTAATAATCAGGAAATTAAGTAGAAATTGGGAATAAAAACTACTAAAGATTCTTAAGCCAATTCCCTAAAGTCAGTGCTATACCTTGAATTAATTCTCTATGATCCTCTAAAAACCCATAACCCCCTTGAACGCCATTTTATCGATAAAAGTATGGCTTCTTTAATAAAAGTCACACTGAGATCTAGTGGCAAGTCACAGAGTATAGATTTCGTCAAAAAAATGATGGAACATTGGGCTTATTAGAATTTCAAGGGCGACAAGCTATTCAAACTTTAAAAATCATGCGATTTTTTCAACAATCAGTACGCAACCAATAATTTTCAAAGTTAAGCTTCTATTTATTTATATATTTGATTAATAATTATGTCTTTTTTTTACCTTCAATTTGTTGTCCTCCTCCTCGCACACAGCCATCTAATCACCGTCAAATCAGTTTCATCGCGATTTCAACAATCGGATGCGGAGTGTGAGGCAATATACAACGTGATCAAGAGATGTCGGCAAGTGGTGGGGATGAGCCGAGTCCATCGTCTGCTTCATCGTCATCTTCTTCATCTTCTTCTTCTTCTTCTGTTGGAGAGTCTCGCAGTGAAATGTTCCCGAGAGGCTCCTCCTTCCGCTCCGCCCTCCCAGGTTTGCCTCATCGAGAGGGGGGAGGAGGGCCCGTCCCTTTTTGGCTTGGCCAACCCCTTAGCTGGGCCTCAACCGCTTTCGCTATCTACCTGAGGTCCTACTGGGGGTTTTGTTGTATTTTTGAAATCTGGAGATCCCTTCGAGGGATCTCAAAACGGTGAGTTGCTTGTACGATATTTTTTTTCAAAAAGCTGTAAACAAGATATTAATTACAATCGGAAGTTTGGTGCTTGGAATAATTGTTTTTGTACAATACGAATTTATTTTAACAAACTTTGCTATAAATTATTTCTGAATTTTTTCTAGCCCTACTCCTTAAAGTATGTAAAAACATGCAGTGTGATTTATATAAACTTTCAAAATGTGTCTAATTTTTCCAGACATTTAGGTTTTTTGATAGAATTTAGCAAATCTTACAAAAAAAGTAATATTTTTCTGTAGTACTTAACTCAATTTCAGCTACACTCGTGAAACTACGTAAGAATGAGCATTATTTTTTATAAAAAAGATCCCAAGGGTTGTTTGCCTAGAAAATTTAGGTAGTTGTCTGGTTTTTAAAAAGCTTAACAAAAATTTTACCCTTGAACCTACAGTACGGTGACTATTACCTCTCTCTTTCTCTTTTCTATCCCTTGCTGCGAGGTATTGATTCAAGGGAGTCCCCAAAAGAGGAGTTAGTACATATCGTGAGTAATCGGCCGAATGTAAGAACTGTAGGTCTGCCAGTTGGATGTTTCTGTGTGGGCGGACCGAATGCGAAAATTGTTCGATTTGTTGCAGGCCTCCGCCACAACGTGGCCCCAACAATGCAGCATTGCCTCGAATCATTGGAGGCGAGCCGGATAAACCCTTTTCCATCAGAGCGTACGTTTTTTTGTAAAATGACTATTGGAAAATACGATTTTTATGTAGATTTTACTGTAGGTTTAGTAGAAGGGAAAACCTAAACAAAATATCCAGGACGGGAGGATATGTGTAATTTTTCGTTATTACTTTATTAGGTATTTCTAGACGGGTTTTTTATTATTTAAAAGTTTTTATAACTTTCAATTAAAAATTAAAAATGACCTTTCCAAAGCAAACCTCCATTCTCAATCCTTTCGTTTTTCTAGCACAATATAGCGATATTTTATCGAAAACACTTTTAAAATTCTGGCTATGACATTATTAAGTTTTTATATCGATGATAAATTTTTAAAAAGGTTTTACACAAAATTTCAGACCTTGGCTTATGGTGTAACGCCACCTGGGACACAGTTCTTTGCTGGCCACCAACCCCCGCCAACACTTCCGTCACATTACAATGCCCACCCTTAAAAGGTCTCGACGCCAAAAGTGAGTCCACTTTCACTACCGTCAACATTTATATCAACATTTATATATTTGTATTTTGGCGATGCTGTTCGTATCTTATCCCTCCAACTGCCCGTTTAAGATGGCCATCCCCCTTTTTCCTTCCACCCCCGTTGGCACTCTATTCTGTGACCCCATCAGGCTTCGTCGGCAAGGGGGGAGCCCCAGCCAGAAAAGGCCAAGGCGATGCCCATTTCTTCTCAAAAAAGGGTCATTTATCCATAGAGACGAAAAGAACTGACAGAGTTGCTTCTTGTCGGCATTTTTGAGCTTTCAGCTGGGCAGATAAAAATACATATGGGAGTGGGGGAGGTGTTGGGGGGTTAAAGGGAAAGGCAAGGCTAGGCTATAGGTTTTGTTGGCTTGAGGTCCGCTAAGGACTGACGCGTAGTGCACTACGTACGGCGGCAGCGTAGCGTAGGGCGCGAAAATGGACGTAATCAAATATTCTATACGTCGCAAATAACGTAAATCGTAAAGATGACGCGGATCTTAAAATTCGTAGATCGCAGAACCGGTTTTTCTGCCTTTCCTGTCTCTATAAAAAATTAAACAGCGTTTTCTGTAAAGTGAAGCCTGATGCAGTCACAAAATATCAACCAACCTGTGCCCGTTATCCCCCCTTCCTTGCTTGGGCTCGACACCGACTTTGCCGTGCGTCGGTGATTGCTAACATTTTTTGGGTGACTTTTCAGTAATGCTCTCTGTCTATCGGGATTTGTGTAATACGGAAATTATGAGGTTTCGCTCGCCTTTTGCTGAAAAAATTTACATCAGCCTCAAACCTCGCCGAAACTTGTCACTCCCCTTTAAATAACATTTTCCAAAGTCCCCTGATGGAAAACAATCCAAAAACTGATTCATCAAAAAAAGGAGAACGCTGCGTAGACAAAATCCACTGTTGTCTTTCCGGAATGTTCCCTAGGGGAAACCCCCTGTCAATCTATTTGCTTGGCTTCAGCAATTTCTCGCGATTTCTCGTTGTTGACTTGGATATTAGAGTGTTATCTGGGGTAGGGCGTATTTGTAAATTTTGGCCTTGAATGCGCCATATTTTTACGGCGGATTTCATATTTTAAGAAGCGTTTGGAGTGGGGGAAGCACCTCCAAGGCTAGCTTCTGCTATCTGGGCAATTCCGGCGTAATTCAGGTTGAAGGAGGGGAAGGAGGGGGAGAGGAAAGCTAGTGGATTTACCGGTGGATTCTGAGTGGGTGAAGGAGAGCGGGGCGAAAAACAAAAGAAAAGAGACAAGTGGGAGAAGAGACGGATCGACTCCCCTGCCGCTAGTGATTCCCATGGGTATTCAGGCACAGCTTGGGTACCTGTTCCATGAAACATTCTTTACGGCTTTTCTCTCCTCGTTGGCTAGTAGATGGGCAAAGATGGCATCTATGAGTAGACTTGTTCGTGGGGTTATTTTCGGCCAGCGCCAAAACTGGAAAGTAAAAAATCAAGAAAATCTGCGGAAAGATAACTGTCTGTAGTTTGTAGCAAAAAGTGAAGCATTTTGTACTTCGATTAATGCGCTGACCACGCGCCTACTGTATTCTGAATTTTAAATATAAATTATAACACTTTTACCACAAACAGCAGTACTTATCCATCCAACGTGTTATGTATCATTAATGCGCAGATCACCAGTGTAGTTTCCCCAAACTATAAAGTGAAATTTTTGTAGTTTTTAGCTTACGACCATCATAAATGCCTAGTATATAACCCTGAACCGCAAACTACAGAATTCCTCCCACCGGAAATAATCCGCTTCCCGAAATTATCACCCCGTTTCCCAATACCATAACCCTGACTACGGTGTCTTCCGCGTTTTTTCTATCTATTTGCCACCCACCGAAAAGCCCCCCCCCCCCGAAAAAAACCTGTCTGCCGCCCAATTTGTATGCTCTTCCCTCATGGGGGATGTATATTCCCAATTTCCTGGCCAATTTCAGTCTGGCCCCAGGCCGGTGGGGTTCAAGCAGCAAATTTCCGATTTATATTCGCCCAGGGGTGGGCGTTAAATAAAATGTCGACATCTAGGGGCCAAAAGGGGGGATACGTGGATCTATATTTGGGAAGGGCGAATTTCCTGGCTTCTATTTATCTGGGGGAAAAGAGAGGAGGGCGAGGGGGATGTGGGTGGGTAGGGGGGGATGTGTGTAGTTGACATGCAAAGCCAAAGCTCTAAGTCTAAGGCAGAATCCGTCTCGGCGGGTATGGGAAAATTTGGATTGAGGTAGGGGAGGGGGATTTGGATTTGAATGGAAATGGGTTTATGAATTTGGGTTAGAAAAGGCTTTCTAAGGTTCAAAAAGGACACGATAAAAATAGGGCAAAGTTATAGGGAACTCTCTACAGGTTCCTCGAATTGCAAATTACGGATTTCACTCAAAGCGCACGCGCAACAATACTTAGCCGCTATTTTTAGCAAAAAATCCATAGTAATCCCTTATCCGTCTCTTTAAATGTGTAGAAACTCTGGTCGTGCTCGCGCTCGCTTCAACGCCGCCCTACAGCCCGCCCGTATGCGTAGCGTCTCGGGGACAGGTCGAATTTCATAGGAAATCTTTAGTCGAGAAAATTCACACCCATACCTTGCTTCAAGCAAACTTTTTGAACAAACCTTCTAGCCGTAGACATGACTCCTATACTGAAACAACTCAGTCTCCCCGTCCATTCTCAGATATCTAACCCCCTGAAAGGGCAACATCACCATCGTATCCCCCTAACTAGAAAGCGCAACTTCACACCTCCCCGATCCTCCCGTCGATGCCTTTTCTATCCAGTCCGACCCACGAGGGCCCATGGCTAATTAGATGCTTCTCCTCGGGTAGCATTCCCCAACCCACCATGCAACAGCAACATTTTCGGCAGGCCATGGGTCGGGGAATTGTGGGGATTGGGAGAGCTTACTAGCACGGTTAAAATCTTATGGTAAAAAAAGCGTAAAGTTTTATTCTTTTTATTATTAGAAGCAACCTCATAACGACCTCACAAAACCCCTATATTTTAATGAATCTTGTGCCTGTCCAGTGTCAGTACGCGCCTGATTTTTTTACTATTTTATGAGTGATTTTCACCAAGTTTTTTTTACAAACACTAGCGTGCCATTTCTCTAACAAATTGTGATGTCCCTAGCCTATGTTGGTTTGGCGCATAGGAATGTGGTTTTTTCTGGCCGGGGGGTTTGCTGGCAAATGACCTCTCCCTCACCCACCCTCACGTGGGATATATTGAGATGAGATGGGGGGGTAGTGCTAGCAAAAGAAAAGAGGGCCCTTCTTTCAAGCGCCTTCAATTTAGATTACGTCCTAGGGGATACTGGGATGCGGCTTAGATGTTTTTAGTCGGAGGGGATATTAAAATTGTTATAAATGCAGTAGCCCTTTAATGAAATAAAATAGTCTTCAAGTTGGTTTGACAAAATGGAAGCAGGCAGCTTATAGTAGACGTAATCCGGTATAAAAATTCCAAGATTATGGCAGCATTTAATGGTATCATATATAATTTTTTCTTTTCCCTATATCCCAACCACCCAACGAATCACTTTTTGATTATTCCACACCCTTATTATTCCGAGTGGCCGCAAAAATTATACGGCACGGCCACCCGTCAAAGATGTAGAAAGACGTCGGCTTTCCTTCCCACTTCCCCCCTTCAATCTTTGAGAATCCCCTGCAAATAACACGTCAAAGGGCCCTCCTTCACGCGACGGAGGGTTAGACTCGATTTCCATATAGCCATTGACGAATGCATTTTATTAAAGGCACAGAGAAGTGTGAGAAAGGAACAGAACCAATTTACGTTAATTTCAAATTAAAATTCTTTTATGCTAGTCGCTTCCCTAATTCTTTTGAAACTAGAAGAAGGGCAATATTTATTTTAAGCTCACGCGATAAAATATCCCAATCCCAGAACCAAACCCGTTGGTGTGTTGTCCGTTGTCTGATCGGCATTTTCGATTTGGGGTCAACTTGCAGAAGAGGTATCGAAATGGTGCGATGGATCGGGACGATGGGCAGGCCGCCTGCCTGGTCTCTACGAGAATCCCTGGGGATGGACCAACTTCACCACGTGCTTTAAGATCAATATCGAGGACCTGAAAGTATGGCTTGGGATCTCCGGAATTGTAAATGGGAGGAGTGAAAGTTGAAAAATGCATGCAAAACTATCCTGCCTTGCTGTCGCTTTTGAATCCTTGCACCCTGCACGACTTCTAAATTGGCTTTGAAAATGCTGTTTAGTTTTGTCGGTGTGGATGAAGGAGTGGAATCGGAAATCGAATAGAAATGAAAAGTGCCTAACGCTCTAAAAATACAAACTATCTGAACTGTATCCACTCCTCACCTGCACCCTGCATCCTTTGCACTGCATAACTAACTCCCTGAAGTGTCATATTAAAATCAAATACAAAACCCCGAAAAAATACGGTAGCCCACAGTGGGGACAGCCCGGATTGCAGAAAACATCACGAAAGAATGCCACCATTCTGGCCGATGGATGGGCAGAACTGAAGATGACATCCGGGACTCGGGATGGACAAACTTCTCAATGTGCTACACCGAAGAAGTCATCAACATCATGACCAACAACAACAACGAATCCATCACCGTATGCGCTTCTTCTATTTTTTCTTTACGCTCTATGGCTCACACAGCAGAGGCTAGAAACATGCAAATATAATACCTTCTTCCCAAAATCATCTAATTTCCTTCTTCGACACCTTTAGTCCGCTCTTGCCTCAAAGAAGAGTAAATTATAACAATTTGAAGACCGGAGACAGACTTCCGATCACACAATTACCTTTTCAGCTTTGAAATTTGGCTTATTACCACCACCACGCTCCTACATACACAAAAACCACACAACATTCGAAGTTGGCGAGTATAATTCTTAAATCAACGCTGTAGAGGAACTTGAAGCCTTCGATTATGCTCGCCATTTGCAAAACATAAAAGAGCCGCTACCCGGCCCCCATTCATTAGTATCATCATTATTATTTTCTTTCTACTTCCTTCACCAACCTTATTTCAAAAAACACTGAAAAGCCAAGGGGTTTAAGAATCTAATTTGAATCCGGTTAGCTGTCAGCTGTGAGGGAGCAAAAAAAAAAATTTTGGCAGAAAAGCATGGCCGGGGCCGGGTGGGAGATGAAGTGGTTGGGATTTGGTTTGTGGATGCCTGGAGGCTGACAGCTGGCTGGAGGAATGGTTCGGAATTATCGGGAAATGGGGGATGTTTATACGGTAATCTGGATTTAGAATTGATTTAGATTGCGCAAGATGTTGCGAAGAATGCGCGGAAGTTGGAATTTGTCGGGCTTGGCCTCTCGTTGGTATCATTGGCTGTGTCGATATCAATTTTTCTGTATTTTAGGTGAGTGGAATCATTGAAAATCCACAGCCAAAAATTCATAGAGCGTTTTAAAGAAACTAGGAAGTCTTTAAGCATATATCCTTTATTTTCCAGGAGATTACGAGTATTCCGAAATATGCTCCATCTACATCTAATGGTTGCCTTGCTCATGGTTGTCATCATTCGGCGAGTTTAAAGAGCCCTCCAAGTAATTTGCATATTTCTAGATTGGTGCTCTACGTGGATTTACTGTTCACAGACAGCATAAACCCACAGCAAAACCCGTCAGAAGGCCGGACAATCAACACGATGGTTAGGATAATTTGATTTTTGAAACTTATTTACTTTTAGGCATTTGTCTGTGAAGCAATGTATTTCTTATTAGAATACTTCAAGACGGTGGCCTTTGAGTGGATGTTCTTGCAGGGTAGCCTCATATTTAACAAAGATTTAGTTTTTCTTTCGATTAGGCTTCTACCTCCACAACCAGCTTGTGCTGACCGTATTCTCCGCAGAACCACAGCTAAAACCATACTTTTTGGCGGGTTATGGTAGGAGAACGCTATTTTCATTAGTGATGTTTGTTTTTTAGGAATTCCCCTTTTCCATACGGCCGCCTGGTTGATAGCTGTACTTTATAAAAAGGACTTTAAGGTATCAAATCTACTTTATACAATGGAAATTTGTTTTTAGGTTGAGCGATGCCTGGGTTCCTATTATTTAGAACCAGAGTTCTGGATATTGGATGGTCCAAGAATGTTGCAACTAGTGGTAAGTGATCAACATTCAATTATACACAAGCCCAGATTAATGGCGGCTTCATCATAAATGTGCTGCGGGTTTTGTGGAGTAAAGTTCGCAGCGAGACGCATAACTCCAGTGAATTGGGCGTGCTACTGTAAGTGTTTCATATGCAAAATATTCATAGACTTTTAGAAAATCTGGGAAAGCCGCCCTCATGCTAATTCCATTACTCGGCATCCCGTGCATTATGCAAACAATACCATTTTCCCCTACAAAAGATAATATTATGGTATTTTGGTTTATTTTATCAATCTTCGAATGTTCTCTAGGTATTTGCCATCTGGACCTACTGTGCCTCATTTACATATATGTATCAGGGGCTGATGATTTCAATTTTGTATTGCTTTACAAATCGCGAGGTAAAAATTTAATCTAAAAATAAAATTAAACTTTTAGGTGAACACCGTAATCAAGGCGTTCTATTCACGATTCCGACTGCAACATACAAGCAATGCCGAATTGAGAAGAGGCTCCAGATCGATTCCTCCACAATATCAAGCCAAGAACGGGGTATTTAGCTTATGATTAAGAAAATATTAAAAATTGTTTAGAAACGTAAAAGTACATTGGGAACTACGGTAGAAGAAGAAACAATGACCACCGCCGCAGTGGACTATTATCCCAGGGCCAGTCCGTTTAGTTCAAGAGCCCCGATTCGGCTTGCTTTCTCTACTACGGTAAGTTTTAGTGCTTTTTTGAGGTTATGCTATTGAAAATACTAGCAAAAAATAATTATTTTAGTAAATTCTAACTCTATTTTTCTAGGAAGAGGAGCATGCCCACAGTAACAACAATACAAATGGCTACGGACCAGGCGAATGGACACCACTAAAAGTCGATCCGCAACATTACGGTATGCGAAATTAATGATACCATTATTTTGCGCAGTTCCAGCCGGACCGTCAGCAACAACAACATAAAATCAGTGCCTTCTCACCCCGATTTCTTCACAAGCTGCCTTAACCGGACAAAAACGAATAATTTTTACGAACAATTGCCGTATTTTAAAGTAAATTTTTTGCTTTTTGTCTCTCTCTCTCTCTCTCTCTCCCTCTCTCTCTCTCTCTCTCTCTTGCTTTAACTTGCTCCCCTTCTCTTGCGGGCTCTTCACCAAATTGTGCTTTATCCCTTTCAACCCTTGTTTTGCTCGACTTTTAACCATCTCACCCCCTAAAGCTAGCAAGCTAATACCCATTAACTCTAATATCTTGATTTCCTGATCAAATCGGGTCTTGAATGCTCCTACGGGTCCCCTGCGCCGTGCTGAACAATCTTCTTCTTTCTTGGCCGATGAAACACTCAATAATGTGCCCACCCGGTTGCTAAACTTTTTATTTTCAATGCTAAGTGTATTTTTTAAATAACGCCGATTCAGAGTAGTTTTCAATGCCAAGGATAAACTTTTAATATCGCTCAAATTCACATAAGCTGCACAAAGCAAAATAAACCTTTTTAATTGATTTTTCTGTAGATTTTACACCATAATCAGCATTATTTATTGCTTGAAAAATTCTACAAAAATATTCAACCCGCAAAATCCACGCTGAAATCATAGCAATTCTTCTTGGAACCCTGAATGAATGGGGGGATAATAAAAGGAAAGTGTGAAGGTGATGAGGAATTCAGAATGATATATGCAAGAAAACTGAAAAAGTTTTAGATATGAATGGGGATACTTATTAGCTAGGTCAATTAGCATCGAAAATCCGGCTATTGAAGTTACAATTGTTAGAGAATCTAAAAAGTGCAGGAGAACCTAAAAAAATGTGCGACTAGTTGTTGGGAGGCTCGGGTTAATTGGAGCTATAAATTTTGGTTTTGTGTTTTAGTTAGACGGGAGCAGAGGGGGATGATATAATTAAAAATGGCAAAATAGAGATCATTTAGAAGCCACCCGACTGGCAGGAATGTCGTTTGCGGCGCTCGTCGAGGCGTTTTTCGAGTTCGCGCCGTTTTATCGATTGTATTCGTTCAACAGTCGACTGTGCTGAAATGAATATCGGTGTAAAAACGTTGTCTAGCAATTATAAACGATTTTTAATTTGACGTTGCTAGGATTTTCATAGACTTCCGGTTGTAAATCTTAGTTTTGGCCAGTTTAGTGCCGTAGCATTCTGCCGTCCTGTTTAGCATCTTCCGGGTGGATTTTATAAGCCATGAATTTTATGGGGTAAGGATAGAAGGGCGCTTTATTTTTACCAAAACTTTAGCGGTCTAATTTCTATTGCATTGCTAAGAAACTAAAGTAAAGATTATATTTGTTGTAACACGGGAATTACTGTGGTGAGGCGGATGTATTAGGGTTATTTATTTTGTGATTTGCGTTAATGTTGATATACCAATATAATTTGTAGTATATTTGCCTAACCTCTTTTCTGTGGCGCTCTTCGAGTGGACTGTCGTCCTCCTCCTCCTCCGCATCTTCCCTTTCCCGTAGTAGACAGCGGACAATATCCGGCGGAGAGAGTTTGTCTTCTAAAAATCAATACGTCCCATCTATTTTCATTCTTTACATGCTGTTAGTATAAAATTTTAAGGTTTAAGGTAGATCAGGTTTTTGAAATAAAATAGAGCCGGACTTTTTCTAGCAAAGCCACTCTGTTTCAACTCCGCTTCCGGTTTTTAAACAAGTCTCCAGATTTTTGGTTATAAAGCGTTAAAATTGGAGCTTGTGAGTTAAGCTCCTAGGGTTATAAACCCGCTTGGGACGTTTTTGGAGATTAGAATAAGAACCGGAAGCTTAATCAAATCCTTAGAATTGAGGGTGGTTTTGCTTTGTATATGACCAGCCGCGGTATAAACCATATAAACACATTTTCTAGTCCAAAAACCGTAGAAACCGGAAAAAAGTGAAAAAATTCGATAACTAGAAAAAGCAGAAAATTCAGAGAAGCCATTCACCATCATCTTTAGAGAGACCGGTATACGTCGTCGTCCCACCGCCATTCAGAAGCCTCATGCACAGCCGCGAGCGTTTTCGCTTCTAAAAACACAGCCAATAACAAGCAGCCCAAAATGATCGTTCGGAGAAGCAGAACACACGCACACGCTCAATAAATGTATAGAAGCTGTTCTCAACGGATGGTTGAGAACAAATGACAGCCAAAAATGGGATGTATAAAGAAGCTGGCTGGGGGTGGAGAGCATGGCTTACTCAGGTCTCGAATTCAGACAGATTCTCCGGTAGTAGACTAGACCCTGCAAAGGGTTGTGGGATGGAAAGTGGCTCTAGGATAGGGAAACAGGGGTGGAAAACACTCGCAAACGGTGGAGATTTTTAGGTAAATTTGGAGAATTTTGATAAGTTAAGCTAAAATGTTTTTGAAACTTGAGTTTTGAGCTTTAAAGAAGTATAACAGTTTCAAAATTTCAAAACCACTTGCGAGAATAAGCTCATACCCTTAAATCCTCAATATTTTGAATTCAAAACTAAAACTGATGACCTTAAGATTAAAAAAAGAAATATTGGACAAAACGGGATTCATAAATTTGAACGGCTTCTCGACGAAGATTCTACCTTTTGTTTGCAATAGCTTTCCAAAATTTGAAGCATTAGTCTGAAACTTAATTCTGGATTTTAAAAGTTTTTTAGTGACCTAAAATTTCGTAAAATTATGTCATTTTACATCCCAACACCATTTTTCTATAATTTAAGATAGAGAAAGATTTAGGGGGTTTCAAAAGCTCGGCACACAACCTTACTCGCTCTACTCGTGAGAGGAATGAAGATGAGGGACGACTAAGACAAGGGTTACGGTAGACTGGGCAATATTTAGAGAAGACACTCACATTCATTTCGGGTAGCATCCCGTTGCTATGCTTGCTGCTTCGCGAGCGATCCATTTTGCTGAAGGCCACACTCCTGGAAAGATAGAGGAGGAGATGGGGGAGCACGGCATAACAGAGCAACGATTCAAGAAGGTTTGTAGTTTAGCGTTTAAGATTTTTGAGGTGTTTAATATTTTACCTAAATGCGAATGGCAACAAGCATTCAATCTCTACTATTTTCTAATTTTTATGCCTACACCAAGCACCTATTTACCCACCTCAATCGATCCGGGAACAGTTGACTCAATTCATATTCTTCCGATTTAAAGTCAATAAATGGCAACCACCGGAACGCGTATCGGAAACCAATCCGGAACCTGTAAAACTTGGCATTCACTCCCCTTTCTTTCAATTCCTACCTCGCATTCGCATAGCAATAAATAATCGGATTGTATGCACAGCTACTCATCGCCAACCAGTAGATGCCCACGTAAATCGAGTAGAATATTGCCTGTTTTGATTGAATTATAATTATAATCAAACAGTCTCTACCTTGATTTCACCGCTCACCAACGGCATAAAAGTGTGGTAGAAATGGTAGGGGGCCCAGCAGATCATGAAGATGGCCACCATTAATGCAAGCATTTTTACAGCCTATCGAATCATAAATAATTTTTAATAAGAGTTTACTTTGCTTTTTGCTTTGATTTGATCACCACGTTTTGAATTTTGGGTGGCAACGGTGTTGTCGGATCTGAAAGGAATGAATTTTTAAAGACGGGTATGGACTGAAGGGTTTTTAAAGGGACTGGAAATTTAGGTACAGATAACTTAACGGGGGGAATACCACTCTATCACCCTGACTCTAATATTCTAAATTGCAGTGGGATCTGGACTCAGTCTATCAAAGGTTTTTAGGCGAAAAAACACGATTGAGAACTTGCTGTGCCCCTTCTTCTGATTATAAAACCGTATTTAAGTATTAAACGGATAGTTAAATATTAAAACTTAAAAACTTTAACCTACCTCCTAAATGCCAACGCAATCCGAGCAAATGTAAACGACAATAGACAAAGTGGCACGGCGTAGAGCACGACGAACAGTGAATGCTCGTACAGGCTTCCGGCCTCTTCTCCGCGCAGTTTAAACCATTCCGGATAATTTGTACTGCACACTCGCCGCATTTTCAACTGAATTTCAGTTTTCTGTTAAACATTTGAAAACGGCAGCCTACCGTCCCAGTACTGATGATATAGAATGGAATTCGGACTACAGACGCGAAAAGGGCTTGAGGGAGTGCGAAGAGGGCCGAAAGGAGCCAGATAACTAAAATAGAGTAATTTTAAATTGTTTTTTTATAGAATTTTTACTTGTTATTGTAATTGCTGTCCGTCGAGCGGAAAGTGGTCGCTTTCGGAGTGGATTGACAACTGCTTGGCATCTAAATAAAAAATTGCTTTGAAAATATAGTTACAGTTTTAGTAATTGTAGTACTATTTACAGTTTATTACTATCTATTAATAAATGTTAAATAAAATTTTGGATATAACCTTTTTTAAATTAGATTTAAACTCACCGATCCCAACTCAGCGCCATCATTGAAAGTACACTGACGCAGGTTGGCGCAACACCAAAGAATTGGTTGACAGTGCAGAAATTACCGTACCTAAATAAAGTACTCATTGTTGTATATATTATCAAAAACACGGCATAAAAACCTGAAACTCACCACCAGTCATAATAAAGGTTAAAAGTCCATGAAGATCCGACATTTAGCACAGCTATCAACAGATCGGCCAGTGCCATGTTGAAGAGGAAATAATTGAAGCCGTGGTGCATCACCTATTTTGAATATATAAATTCAAATTTGTACTCTTCATACCTTATGCGAATATATAATCCACATAACACATACGTTCCCCACTACTGCTGCAAATATCAAGGCGATAAAAGCCGCGGCGACGACGCCTTGTACTGTTCTAAAGGTATAAAGTCATATGCATCTTTTACCTAAAATGTTTAGTTTAATAATTACTCACAAAGAATATTCACTATCGTCCGTCGCACAGATGAAGTCTTCTATCCCACTGTCATTTAATGCTTCATGTTGCCCCGAGCATAGATATTGCCCTAACAGCTGCAGCTCCTCATCCGACATGTTCGACATTTTCACGCTAAGAAAGAAATAAAAATCTATTTGCACTGCAGGGGTCAAGAATCTGATAATGAACTTATGCGTGATTTTATTCTTTACAGGTATAAATACTTCCAAATTTATTTCTGTGTTTAGGTGAGGGTCCTGTCCCCGGAGAGCCGTTTGCACAGTGTTATTGGGCTAAAGGCGCAACGATCAGGTTTGCAAAATGTTTTTCGAAAATGGAGGGATTTTGCGGACAGACACGTAGGGTAGAGTTGATGTTATTTGATCAAAATAGGTGTTTTATATAATTGTATATTTGGATGGATTCTTGCAAATGTTATGACCACTGGATTGAAAATATATAAAACATAGTCTGTAAAATCGGAAATTTCTGGAGCGTATTTGTTGAAAGATCGAAATGGTTTTTGATAAAATCGAAGTTCTAGATTATTGCATATTTGGGTAAATTCGTGCTAATGTAGAAGCCGCGGAAGTATCGAAATTTTGTAAGGAAAACCAAGAGGTCTGGCGGGTAGCTGTCGCAGTGTCGACACACTATAAAGAGATCGAGCTATCAAAATATCGAATAAGACCTAAAATGAAGCCGTCATCGATTCCAAACTAATACACAAGCTTCAGGATCACAGCGTGTAGTCGCCAATAATTATCGTCACCCCTGAGAAGCCTTCTCCCACCCCCTATCCTCGTATGGCCAACTCAAGAATCTCCTGATTGAGGGCAACGAAGTGAGGATGGGAGAATAATTGCATTGCTCCTCCTACTCCTTCCCATCTTTTCTTTCCAATACCTCTTCATCGTATCCTCAAGATCAAAAGCCTGTGTCTCCGCTCCCCCCAGCTTTCCACAGATGCTAGAGACGACGCCCCCGATATTTGGATAGCTCGCACGGGCAAAAAAAGGCGGCTAATTGTCTTGGACGCTTCGAAAATAAGTTTGTTTGCCTGGGGGTGGGGGGTTGATGATGAGGTGGATGAGGAAGAAAAGTCTTTTTACAAGAGTCCTATCGATCATTGGTGGGTTATGAGGGCAAAACAGGGTTAGATGAGGATAGGGGTTTCACTTTGAAAATAAATAAACTAAGGTCAGCTAAGATTAGGTCAAAAAGGTCGGGGGTGACAAAGGATTTGATGGGTAGAGAATAGCGTAAGATAGATTTTACAGGGTTGAAATGGGGGTTTTGGATGTATGTTTGGCGGGGGCCTTGGAAAATCTGTAGTAAGAGGTTGAACCCAAACAAATTCGCGTCTTTCCGGGTGTACTTTGGATATTGGTCCGAACACTTAAAGTCGATTTGCTATTTTTAGGATAGTGGTCACCCGCTAGTGCAAAAACAAGAGAAACGATTTTAAAACTGTAAGATCTATCCGGTTTGCTTAAACTTTCTATGAATCGTTTTGCCATTTTTTGAATTTCTTGAAACCAGATCATGAGTAATCAGAATTTGTAGCAAGCTATATCAAAAGCTTTGCATAAACTCGCCAACCTATAGAAAATGACGGCCGACCCATTGGCAGAAAAATGTAGATTAGGTGAATAATACAGCATCACCGCTTTTTCCGCTAGCTATTCCCCCGAATAAGGCGAAGCAACGTTGCACTGAATTCCGCTGGATTCCCCTTAACATCCGCTCCATCCCCTCCCCGACCACCCCCCTGCAGATGCCATTTTCTGTAGATGACAGCGGCCAGTGCTCTCTCCTGTCTCTCGTCATCTATCGTTCATTACTGGAATCCCCCCATCAGTCCTTCGCAACAGAACGCAAAAGGGGGTCGGCTGGAGATTGTGACGGCAAGTTTGTTTGCGAGGATTAAAGTGACTGGGAAGTTCAAATATTTAGCGCTGTAATGTAGAATGATAATGCCGAAAACTCGTAATATCGTGATGTACATCGCCAAAATCTGCGCAGAATTTACATAATGTAAAATTTTATAATTGCAAGTTTATAATGCCGATTTTTATGATGCTGAGTGTTCAAAATAGGCTTAAAATTTGGCTTAAAGAAAATTCGTCGTCTTGACATGTATGATATTTCGGCCTTGTGAAAGTTTAGTGCTACGATATTCGGCATTTTCGACATTCGCAGTTATGTAAATTAAGCATTATGACAAACGCTCAAAAATTTCAGCGGTTAGCTCTGGTAGCCCCCTTTAAAAAGACTAAAAAGTCCATCAACAAACAGTCATTTGCCGTCTGCGATTGGTAAATGAGAGCCGCATCCCCGTCCGTACATATTACAACGCAAAAACCACAAGCACCCCCTAATTTCCGCAATTACGCCAATTATTTAAATTATTGCCGACCGCAGGTAATACCACTGCCGTGAACACAGAAATCTAGAAAAACGTTTTTTTACCGGGAATGCTTGGTATTTTCAAAACCCACGCCCTGCGTACATTTGCTTTTGACGCCAACGCAAATTCAGCATGTTTCTCGGAATTGGGCGGATAAATGGGGGGATACTACTTTCTTTTCGAGATAGAAGAGAATTCTAGGAAAGCATCCGGAATTTCAAAGCCAAGTCGAAAGGCCATGCAAGAGTGGTCACTCCTAGGAAATGGGGGGCCAAGTCATGGGGAAAATTTGACTCGATATTTGGCTACCTGACAACCTCCCAATTTCCGAATTATTGAAAAAAATTCGGGGGACAATTTCCTGTCAGCGTACTAATGTACCACGGTTAATCTAGCAAAAAAAGATAATGAAATTTATTCTTTTTACAATAGGGTGATATACCCGATTTTCAGGAAGGCACGAAAAATATTGGGAGGGGTGTTATTCATGCTTACATGTAAATAAATATAGGTGAATAGACTGGAAACAAATTTGTTTTTTTTATTGGGGAATAATATTTTTTTGGTAATAAATTTAGAATAGGATATAATATAGGAAAAATATCGATGTGTATGAACGAATAGAAGTCAAGCGTAGGATTTGGCCGGGGTAAAAATTGGATTTTCGACTGGTTATTCAGCTGATTCACGGGGAGAAAGTAATTAAAAGTCCTGGTGGGAATTTTTGACTTTTATCCAAGGGATATGCCTTTATTCTCTGGGAAACATCAGCTGCCACTTTCACATTGGTTTTAGTGGGGTATCAGATGGCAAAAATAAGCCCCCAGGAATTGGCGGCTTTGTTTAGGTTTCTAAATAAAGGCTATGCATACGCGTTATATAAACCACCTCGCGTGAGCAATTTAATGAAAAGATTCTTTTTAATGACTTAAAAGAAATTTACGGGACCCACAGAACAAACGCAGTTGTCACGCGTCCAGGTTTATGGGGCTAGCGAGCCGTTCGGAATGGGTGGGTCCTGCCCGCTAGAGCCTTCCCCCTAAAGACTTTTTAGAATGGCGGTGGTGGTGGTAATTAGGAGACGAGACGGTCATTGCATGGGGGTGTGATTTGTGGGGTGCTATGGGTAGGAGTTGTTCTTGGATCTACGTCACTGCCAAGAGAGCCTTTTGAAAAGCTGTGAGATTCCACCACGACCAACACAAGTGCAATAACAAATTAAGAAGAAAAATGGGTTTGAAGGAATTGTTGGTTGGAGGAATTGAGAATTGGGGATGCTGTGGAGGGTAAAAATCATGTTGCAAATATTTTCTGAAGAAAATAGACGCTGGAAAAAGTAATCGAGCCAAATATTTTTTAACCAGGTTGGCATTGTTAAAAATAGCGAATTGCAAGCAAAAAATTAAATTTTTAATAAGCACATAGTTATCAAATTTTCTTCCTAAGAAGTATATACTGTAATATTCCATTACAACAATTTACAAAATTTACTAGCTAAACCATTACTAATTCATACAATTTCTGATGGTTTTTTAACCTCATTCTAAAAAGTATTAAGGTATTTAATAACAAAACTTCATCCAAAATGTGCCGGATCGTCTCGTAGCCCTTACTAAACCATAATCCTTACTTATCCACATTTCTACACCTTACAATCCGTAGCGATTGGAATGCAGTTCCGGGACTACGCAAAAGAACACTCCCCCAATCTGTCCATCATCCCGTCGGGCTATAGGGGCCAATTTCTTCTTTGGGCCCCAAGCGTTTGCCCAGTCACAATGCGCTGTGGTTGGGTCGGAATATCCGGCTCTCCTCCTCCCACTCCTACTACTACAGCTCTAATTTTCCACCGCCAATTTGTGCGGCATCCCAATTACCGGGACAAACACTGGCCAGGGGGCTCAAGGCTAGGGTTGGGTTCCAGAAATCAAGTATTGGCTGGGAAGAGGAGGAGGAGGAGGAGAAAGAACTTTTTGCTGAGTGAGGGGAGGGGTATCAAATGTTTCTATGAATGGGTGGGTTTGATGCACGAACTTTCAACTGAAATTTTTTTGATTGAACTTTGTAGTTGGGGGAAGGAACCGGGTTTTAGGTCTGAGATTAATTTCGATCAGCGTATCAGTTAGTAACCATACATTACTGAGAGGCGGAACATTTATTAGGCTACAAATCAGGGATGGTGTTAGTCAAATCGAAGGTTGACTCAAAGCTCGAAGCCGAGATCTGCATAATTAAATGTAAGTGGCGGAAGTGACTTCGATTTTGTACGCCATCAGTAAATTTGCATCTCTTCGCGTCTTATTAATTTTGTTCCATACAAATAACACCATCATTACCACAAACTACACAATTAAATTGATCCAATCCGCCCGCTGAACACTTAAAAACTGCATCAAAACAGCCCACCCCGCCGACCCAGCCGAAAAACACTGGAACGGCGCCAAGACGGGGGCTGCTGAGGGTTGGAGTAAAACACCGTTGGCCTGCTCATATCCGCGCACGGCTCACTGGAGCCTTACGTATTTTTGTCAACATGTTGCTATGAGTGAATAGAAGCTCTCGTTGGATGAGGCCATAAAACTTCGCGATGGCCTGCTATGATTCTGGGAAATGAACAATTTGCATTCAAGGGCGAGGAGGGCAAATTATTTTTTTCAGGATTGCGTAGAGCCAAATCGAAAACTGGAACTTCATTTGTGATAAGTACGAACGGTC